ACATTTTCTCCCTCAGGCCAGGGGGTATCTCATAAATCTTCCCTAGCCCGGGTCTGGAGATCCATCACCTGAATGAAGTCATGGGTTTCTTCCTGGCTCCCCTCTTCAGGGCTATTCAGACAGGAGGCTGGGTTAAATTCTTCCCCAGTTTTAAATTCTAAACCTTCCCATTTCCTTAAACAAGACTCATACTGTAATAACCTAGCACTAGTCATCCACTTAGAGGCTGTCTCAGTTAACAAAGCTTTAATCTGATGTGAAACTATAAAAATCAATACCCTCCCCTTGTCAGCTTTAGGGCCTCAGCCATCAGAGCTGTGGCTGCACAGTTCTGCAGACAATGGGGCCAGCCTCTGGCCACTGAGTCTAACGGCTTAGAAAAAAGGCAACAGGCCTCGGTGTTCCCCCATGCTCTTGCACCAAAATTCCTTTAGCATGACCCTGTTTAACATCCACATATAGTTCAAATTCCTTTTCCGAGTCTGGAAGAGCTAAGACTGGGATATTAACCAATTTGTCTTTTAATTTTCCAAAACTTTGTTCTCCTTCTGGTGTGCATACTATGACATTAAGACTGTCTTGGGTTAAAATTCTCAATCCATAGTCTGCAGTACCCCACCAACACTAAAAACTGCCATAACTCCTTTTTTTGTCTGGGGTAATGGTACTTGTAAAATCCCTTGTATTCTTTCTGGATCAATACACCCTAACCCTCCAGTCAGAATGTGTCCCAAATATTTGACCTTTTTTTTCTACCAACTGCACCTTCTTTTTGGACACTCTAAGTCCTTTTTTAGCAAGAGAATTAAGCAGCTTTATAGTAGCTTCTTCCACCACCTTCTCCTGTTCCCCTGACAAAAGCAAATCATCCACATACTGCAACAACCTAACTCCTGAGGCTGGGGTAAACTCAATATTTTCTGCAAAGCTTGCCCAAACAAAACCAGTGACTCTGTATATCTCTACGGGAGGACTGTCCATGTCAATTGTTGCTTTACCATTTTCCCCTCCTTTTGTTCCAGTGATTTTCCTTTTGAACATGATCCACTTCAGCAGCAAGCAATGCCACTGCCTAAAGCAAATCACATTTTTTAGTAACCAATTTTTCCCCGCCCCAATTTTTTGCATCAAGTCCACCCTAGGTGTAGGAAGGTGACTAACATATTAACCAAAGAAAGATAATAAAATATTTTCTGCTAAAGTTTTCCTATAGCACCCACAGAGGAAGCTGCATGATAAATACCTAGGCCTGCGTAGAGACAACACAATCCCCACAAGGCAGCAGCTGCTGAATCAGTCTCAGGATTAGAACCTGCCAATTCTAGTTCTCCACAACAGACCACAGACTGTGGGGGAGTTCCCCACAAGATAGGAGTTGCAGAATTGGCTTCAAGACTGAAACCTGCCAATTCTGGCTTTTTACAACAAAACATATAAAAATCAGAGGGGTGTGGTCTCCTCCAAACAGGAGCCTTTCAGCTCTGCACAAAACCCCATGTAGACAAATTAATTAAATCCCCAAATTCATTTACTACAATTCCCACAATTCCCTCAGAGAAAGATGCATTCAAACATCTAAGCCTACAGAAGAAACCACAATTTTCACAACTCCTTTGAACAATCAAAGATTCTTTTGACAATTTTCCTCCCTCAGGGATAAAATTTAAGGTGGATGCAGAGGCCCTTGTGTTTACTAGGAAACACATCTTTTGGTCCAGACCCACCTTAGAAGTTAACAAAGGCTACAGGGTGGTGGGTCCCTGGTAGAATGGAAGCCCCTGATACCCCTAACAATTAATTTCCATTATCCTCTGGACTTCCTCCTCTTGAGGGTCCAGCTGTTTTTGCGGACATTGCCATTTCCAGTGTCCCTCTGCCCTGCAGATAGCACACTGATTCTTTCCTAACCACTGTTTGGGTTGGATCTCCCCTGCTGGGGACGCAATGCCTCTGCCACGTCCTTGTGGCTGATCCAGTCCCTTTTGTCCCAGGGGCCCCTTGGGCCCTGCAGTTCTTCCCACTTGGGACATAAAAATTCTGCCATTGCCTTTGCCTTTGCTTTCTCCTTTTCCTTATCCCTTTTTATGTACACTTCCTGTATCTTTCTAACCAGTTCATCCAGGGACTTACTCTGCTCTTCCTCTAACTCCTCCCCGCTACTGATGTGGGTACTCATTTCCCCACAGCTCAAAACCACTCATTTTTCCAGTGAATCAAACAAAATCCTTAACAGAAAATCTAAATCTTTCTATGCACAATCTACATTTCCCCAATATTCCTTACTCCTTGTGCTCACTCTGTTTATCACACACCATATACCAGAACCAGTCCCTGTCCTGCTGCATTGTCCAAACAGCTTCTCCCCGCTCCGGTGCTCCTGGCAGGCATGGCCGGAGCTGGCAGGGTCAGGCATTGCCCGGTGCTGAGTCCCGGCAGCCCTAAGGCCCCCAGCCTGTGCTCCTGGTCCCACACCTCCACACCTGCTCTTACTGCTCCTTGCCTCAACCATATCTCTCCACACTCCCCTTCAACCAATTCTGTTCCAACACACCAGCATGATCCATCCATCCCCTGTTGCCAAGACTCCTTGACTCCCCTTATTGCCCCCGCTAGGTGTGGATTCTTGAGATCCCTTCCCAACTCCCCTTATTGCCTCTCCTGGGCATGGAGTGTCAAGACCCGTTCTCGACTTTCCCTTATTGCCCCCTTTGGGCATCTATTACCTTCGTGAGAATGTGTAAACCAACTCCACATTCTTCCAAGGAATTCTTCAAAGATATTTTGGGATTGTCATCCCTTTTGCTGCATCCCCTTCCTAGCTGTACCCTTGCAACCCTCCATGGGTGCCTTGTTTTACCTGTGCAACTCACCATGGGTGCTCTCTCAGGTTTGCTCCCCTGAGATCCCATTTTGCTCACTGGTGAAATTTTCAGTGGTCCTTCCCTGCAGACTCTTCACGGACCCCCCCTGGTCTGCCACTCGTCTGCCTCCTGGATAGTCTTGGGAACCAAATCCATTGCCCAGTGCTGGCTGCCACCAAGGGGAGCTGATCACCAAAACTGGGTGAGGCGCGCCTTCAGCTCCACTCACTGCCTGCTGGCCTGGACGGTGGAAATATCCCAGATGAATCCCCATTTGTCAGGAAAATTAATCCACAAACATCAGAGGTTTATGTCCAAAAAGGAGACAAAGGAGTTCTTTAACTTTATTCAAATAAAGGGAGAGGCCATGGGGCCTTTCCTCTGGGGTCTCTCAAATTTTTGGAAGGTGCAGCCTCCTTTTTAATCCTAATTTCCCAGCCGCATGCCCCTCTCTCTTTCCCCATTGGCTGAGGTACCTGAGAGGTACAGACTTCCTACCCTCTAATGTATAACCCTTCCTCTTAATTTTTAATTCTTATGGAATTTATAGTGTTTCCCCATTATCTCTTTCATCTTTCAATATCCAATTTCATTTATCAGCAAACCTAAAGTTTTTCTATAAAGGCAAATGCTTTTATTTTCCATTCATCAATCAGTAGAATCCTTCCTATTGTTTCTTTTATCTCTCAGTGCTAGTTTTATCTACCAACATACCCATAGCTTGTTTGTAAAGACAAATCTGTCATTCCTCTTAATAGTACAGCTGAAATGCTCCTACTATAAAGAACTGTTGGGGATGCATGTGCTTGGGTGGTGAGAGAGGTAGCAGAGAGCTTGCAACAAGTGAGGTGGAACAGAGCAGGGATAGGCACTACCAAGGTCAGATTCTTCAGTGTTCACTCCACTATTTTGATTATTTTTGTAATTCTCATTTGATTTTTGCTGATGAAATTTCTTCTTGGATGCCCTTCCGTGGAAAACTTAGTAATTTTCCTACATAGTTAATATTCAGATATAAAAAAACTACTACAGTCTAAATGATGAATAGATGCTAATTTATACATATATACATATACTCAGAATGCCTAATTAATGATCTTCTCTGTCAGTCACAGATATGCAAATGATTATATTTTGCGAGTCTTATCATAATTGTGCTGCCCTGCTGGCTTCAGTTTGGGGGAATGTTTTTACTGCAGTTTAGAAAGGGATAAGAAAGAAGACTGAGCAACAAAGCAGTAAAGAACACAGCTTCTGTGCTGATCAGTCAAAAACAGGTAGATCCTGATTGTTTCCATGGGTGCCAGAGGCATTTCTGGAACAGGAACTAAGTGGATCCAAGTAACTCTCTGGAGAACTCACCTATCCCTGTGTTACAGCAAAGAGATCCTGAGTTGCATCTCTGACCCCAAAGCACACTGTAGAAATGCTGACAATTTAAGATGAAGGGATGTGTTCTCGTCTGGTACTCCGACAACTGGTTTATTGAACACAGCCTTGATAAGGTTTGGGGATGAGAACAAAGGATTGGGTTAAGGGCACAGGGTTAAATGAGGGGCAAAAGGGGCGGATCTGAGGATTGAGGCCCAACAGGGAGAAGGGGAAGTGGTGCAGGGGGGTGGCTAAAGACTGGGAGAACCAAGGGGATAACAGGGGTGGAACAATGTTGCAAAACAGAGCCAATGGGGGTTAAGGGAAGGAGGAACATTCTAGGTAAGGGCACCTGAATGGCGAATGGGGCTGAACAAGGGTGACATCAGTCCTCACGCACTATCAGAACACCGCAACCCAAAAGGTGTTAACATGTGGCTGCAAAGGCCCATGGGAATAAGGTTTTCCTCAAGAGGGGCATCTCTCTTCTCTTGTGTTGTCCCCTCTAGGGTTGAGGCATTTTGGTAACAGGCCCCTGAGCCTCAATATCCCTGACCACTGCAAAGTGGGCTATAGTCACTATATCTTACTGCACTAATGCCTGAAGTAATGTTGGGAGGTCTTCATGAACATAGCATTTCTCATTTTTCTTTCTCTTTGCCATTGATGTAGATGTTCCTCAAAAAGTAAAAGATTCACAGTATATTTTAGTAGAGTTTGTGGGTATGTTTTGCTATATAAATAATTATACTCTCCATAATTCTGGAAGACATTTATGAAAATAATTATTTGGTCCTCTGATACATATGTGCACAGAAGTTGCTCCAAATCTGCAAGTCCTGGAACTGGAACAAAGGAAAATGGACAATGTTAGTCATTGTTACATGTCTTTTTGATATTGATGCCTTAAGTTTTAGCTTTCATATTTTTCATATTCTGTGCTGCCTAGGTGTGTAGCTTTGAGCTTCATATTAAGTATTATGAGCTCTCTTCACAGAGTAGGTAGACAAAACAATACTTTTTCTAGCTTGATTCCAAGGACAATCATTTTAGGTTTCAGGCCCAAAAGCATAAACAATGGTGGACTGAAGAGAGAAAACAAGAAGGATGGGACTTCGTAACCTGAAGCTGTGATTGGATATTTAACGCTGGTATGCAAATGGACCAAAACTTATACAATTGTGAGACCTCATGACCAGTCGTCCATTTTGTGACCATTTTTAAGTCCATCTTGGGCAGTACAAGAGCCCTGTCCAGGCTCTTGTACTGCCCAAGGTGTTTCCTAATGGCCTTTCAATAACTACCTACTTTACTCTTAAATCTGTCTATCCTCTGTTGTAGGTCAGCCTTCTCAAGGCATCAATATCTTGGACTGAAAACAGTTGTGAGGTGGAAAAATCTAATCCTGAAAAATTTCTTATAATTACTGGCCTTGGAAAAAATATATTTTTAAAGAATGAATTAACACAAGCTTCTAACTCTCTTCTTAACTATAAATTTCTAACTCTCCAGCATTTGTATCAGGGTGCTGTATGGGCTGAGTGTTTGCTGGGAGCAGTTTTTCTATCAGGTCCCAGGTGCTTTTTAAAGGCCTCCCTTTGTTGCCTTAATTCCATGATGGAATTCATTTGTATTTTTTCACCTGAAGCTGTATCTGCAAGCAGAAGGTGGTGGTTGTGCCACAGCCTAGAAAAAAACAGGCTGAATGTTACTTTGAGGAAACTCGGATCTTGCCTCCAGTAAGGAGAGCTCTCAGGACAGCTCTTAAATCACCACTGGGATTTGCAAGGAGTTTGCAACAGAGTAACTATGAAATCATGGCTCTGAACTGATCCGGTGGGCTGGGATGTTGGATCCTGCTTGGGGAAGCTATTGATTCTCCATACACAGTCTCAGAGGACAGGGAGGTGGTGTGACCTGTACTGCTGTGCTCTTTCCTGCCTCATAGAAGTTATGACCATTGTGACAGGGGATCCGGTTCTTCTCCACGAAAGCTGGGTTACCTTGGTTCTTACAGCTGCAGGATTGCAAAGTTGAAGCCTGTGCCTCCTGACATTTCTACTTCTGCTTCTATTCTTTGCTTGCTTATATTGGCTTTGTGGTTACTTTTAGCCATGTCAGCACACTGAAAATTGCTGACAGTAAACACCAAAGGCATGCATACATGCTACTGAAAAAAAATAACAGCCATGAGGAAAACAGCCTTGGGTAAATAGTGGATTTGCTCACTGTTAAATGTTCACAGCTTCCACATACAGCCTGGAGCCTCTTACTAAATACAGGGCTTGGAATTTCGTTTTTAAAGGACATTGATACAGTGACACTGCTCACTTTTCCATGTGACTTTTGGTATATGCAGTAGGAGAAAGGTTCATCCTGCATGGTGCTGTACAGAACAGCAGAAGTATTAAGACTTACAAGAAGAATAGCAGCCATAGGCATGTGGGATCCTGGGTTTTGTGTCAGGAAATTTGGCCATCCATCCACAAGACAGCCTGGGATGTCCTACGGACTCACAAGTCTGATGTTCTGTGCCGTCACTGTCATTCCCACCTTCAGGAAGGTGAATGATGTAGTGTGCAGGTTAGCATTAAGTGGCCTGAACTGCAGCAGACCTGAATTTTGCACAGATTAAATGCTGGGAAAGGGAGGGCAGAAAAAGGTACATCCTTGGGCTCATCCAGGGCTGTGTAGATTGGGGAAACATGCTTCTCTTGTAAGTACCTGATCACATGCCAATATTTGGTATCCCCATGTTCCTGCAGTTCTCCTGTAGTTTCAGAATGGTTAGCCATTAGGGATGGGGTTGAGGAGCTGGATTCTGCTTCTGCCGAGCTTACTTAGGTGTTCCAAGGTCCACAGAATTTGCCACAATTCCCAGAGCCCAGCTTTGAGCTGCGTGTTACCAGCAGCTGGGCCTAACTTACAGAGTGCAGGGAGGAGCAGGCTGGACTCCATCAAAAATGGATTTTGCTGGGAGTGCGTTGCTATATTTATAGTTTACCCAGCTGCTTTGGAGCCATTACAGCTGTCAAAAGCAGTCGTGGTGCATACCTTCTTGGAAACACTTATCCTGCCTGGTGGTGCCAAACCTCAGAGCTATGTCCACCTCTTCAGAGGCTCTCACCAGTAGCCGCTTACCCTCCCACAAGAAGTTCCAGCAACATGGGCACTGCCATGGAGGGTGACCCCAGAGCTTCCTTCCTCTTTCCTTTGCACCAGAAATGGTACAGGATGCAGATGAAAAGACCTGCAAGCTGGACAAGAAACATAGATTAAACATAGGCTAAAGTCACATTTCTCCAGACTTAAAAGACAGTTTCTTTATGGAAATTATTAATTATTCTGATAACCATCAGATGATGCAGTTAGGATTTGGAGATGACCTATATTAATGAAAAGAATGAGAGAGAGGTGTCTTTACAAACAAGCTGTGGGCCTGATGGTAGATATACCCAGATACTGATAGGTGAAAAAAGCAATAGGAGGAGCCATAAATTCCATAGGAATTCCACTAATTGATACAGACTGTTGCTCACCCAAGGCCCTGCTACATTCCTGGACTTGGAGAAAAAAAACAGAGACACAAAGAAAAAAAAGGGAAGGGGGGGGAATGCACATTAGAAGGGGATCTGTATTAGGCGATTGGGGAAGTATGTTCCTCTCAGGTTCCTCAGCCAATGGGGAGAGAAGGAAATGATGGGAAATTAGGATAAAAAGGAGGCTGCATCCTCTAGCAATTTGAAAGACCCCAGGGTGATGCCCCATGGCCTCTCCTTTTATTCTAATAAAGTTACAGGGCTCCTCTGTCTCCTTTTTTGGATATAAACCTCTGACATCATGGATTAATTTTCCTGACATCAAGTATATCTAATTAAAAAGATAGTTTCCAAACTCAGTTTACATTTGGTGTGGTCTCATTCATGCCTGTCAGCCATGCTGCATTTTAGTATGAGCTAGTTGAAGCTGGCTTAAATCTCTGCTTTAGGCTTAATTAAATAAAGACAATCCAAAGCTGACAAAGTCCTTACTGCCTTCCCAATTCAAGGTAAAATGCCATTAGAAGCAGCTGCTGGAAGCTGGATAAAGAAATCAATATTAGGGGAAAAGTCAAGGGTTTGGGGGGATTTTCTTTTGTGCTGTGTGTGTACTGCTGCCTGCTTGAGCCAGCAGGCCTGGCAGATGCTGCTCTTCCTGCCTGTGAGTAGGACATACTCTGCACTGAGCACTGTGAAGGCAAGGAATAAACCAACCAAACTTATTGACGACAAAGACTACCTTAAGTCCCTGCTATAAATTTCTTGCACTGGAACTCCAAATATTTCTTAAAGAGTTCCTAGGAGGAGGCTGGCATATACTTAATTTGTAAATCTTGCATTAGAAATGGGGTTGTACTTCAGAGAGCCTTCTGCTAAATTTAGAATGAAACTCCATGCTCCCACTGTCAGGATGGGAGCTTAATTACAGTGTGCTGCAAACTTTGCTTTTGTGAAGGCTATTTTTCTGCACTGCTTGCTTCAGAAAGCACAGTTTTGTTGCTATTTTTATGATGCTTTTACAACAGCAGCAGCAGGAGTTTAAATGGGTTAGGTGAAACTTGAGAAGGATTCTCTGACAAAACCAGCAATAGTATCTGTGTGGTTCCCAGCATGGAACTTCTCACCAGCTGAAATTAATCAATGTCAGGAGGAAGTTGTCACCGGTTGCTGTTGCTTTTTTTCCTTTCCTTTTTACTTTTCCCCACCTTCCTGCAACTTGCAATTCTCTTTTTTATTACACCACAAATTATCTGCTCAGATTTTTTATATGGATCCATATTTGCTGCTTATGAGTGGGAACCTGCTAGAGGATTGCAATAGAAAAATTGAACTCATAAATTCAGCAAGTTTTACATCCAAAAACAATTAAAAGGTGCACATGATTTACCCTACCTGCCTTAAGAGGTAGCTGCTATTTGCTTACAAGAATTGCAGAGCTCTAAGGAGTCTTTCATCCTTATCATGGAATTCCAATAGTGTTTTGCAGAAGCCAGTATGCTTTGCTGCACGCAGTAGTGTTGTGTGGTGTGGTGGTGATTGAGAGCTTTTGGGGTGGGTGTTGGACATGAACACCAAAGGATCTTAAAGCTACAGAGAAAGCTGTTTAGAAAACAGAAGACAAGAAAAGTTCAGGGAAAATGGGGACTGGGTTGGTCTGTTTGTTTTTCCTGAAGGACTCTCCCTCATTTGGAGGAATCTGTCTCCCTGAGCTGTGTGTGCATATAAGGTAACTTCTGGTGGGAAAGAAGCAATATAAAAAATTTGACCTCTCCCCACACAGCGCTATGTTGAGGGATGCATGTTTCTTACTAGGACAGCACAATTCACATACTCCTGCGTGTTGATAATGGTAAAGATTACAGCCTAAATGACATTGGCACCTTTAAGAAAGTCCTCAAATGTGATGCAGGACTGAGTTCCCATCAGAGTTACTCAACAAAATCTGCAGTGCTGCTGTTACCATTCTACTGCAGGAGGGGGTTTCAGTATTTCACACCAATCAGATGCTGGGGGAAATAAAGCGGGGCCAAGGTATGCTGATCTGTCTGGTCAAACAAAGTAATTTGAAAGTCCAAATTCAGTCTGCACCTAGGAAAAAATTCCCCAAAGAAACAAAATGATTCAAAGTGAGCAGCATCTGCCCACCTTTTATAAAAAATATTTTAACATTGATTAAAGCTGTCATAAAGTGGAAAATCCCCATTTTTTTAATGGTAGCAGAGAAGTTTTCTAGAAAATATTTAGTTTGTCAACATGTTACACTAAAAAGTAGGTATGACATAACCTGCTGGAAAAAACATTATTTTCACTTCCACAAATAGTAATGTAAATGTTAAATTTGATTTTATTTCCCCTCCTTGGTTTTTAAAAGGAAAATAAAATAATTGGCCAGATGTCTTTGAGATTTGATGATAGATTACACAGTACAGAAGCTTGACACCTGCTAGGAAGTATTCTTTCTGTAAAAGTTTTTATAATGTAACAATATAAAGTCATCTATCTAGGGTAAACTGTTTTCCGTTCCCATGGGACTCTCACATGGTGTAAGGATTCTACTGAGACTTCTCACCTGATGAGCAGAAAATTTATACATGCCATTTGCAAAATCCCAAACAGGAGAGACTCTAGTTTTAAATAATAATTGAAAACATTTTTAATTTAACCAGAGCCAAGGACATTCTCAAAGACATTACAGCAACTTACTAGAAAATTACTGCTACAATAACAAACAATCCCAAAGGCATGAGTTAAATAATTCAGGATCAGGAGGTGGTATTTTGACTGGGCACTGTGTTTCTTGGCCTTAAGGGTATCATGGCTGCCCTCCTGTGAGATGGGTTCTAATTTCCTATAGAAAGGATGAAAATCTTCCTCACTTTTTGAAATACTGAAGGTCCCTCAGTTTCTAGAAACTCTCCTGAGTAGAGCTGCTATCTGAAAGCTGAACAAATAAACCTCACCTTGTCCCTGCTTTCCCTGTGATTTGGGACTCTTGGCTCAAGCAATACTTCATACTGTGAAGAAAAGAATTTGTTGAGATTAATTTATTAATTATGGGCCATATTTTGACATTCCAGTTCTTTGCTTATCTAGTCTAAGACAATGTGAAAACAAAGCCAAGACCTTTGTAATTCTGGTTTTCTTTATTTACAGTGTACCGGAACGAAGTGGCATCATCTGGGGAAGTAGAATGAATATTTTGCCTAGAACAACTCTGATGTGCTTATATTTCTTTAAACATAATCTAAGATGTTATCCTTTTTGTCAGTGAGATCTAGGTACATTAGTCTGTACACAATTCTTGCTGCAGTTAGGAATTACATAACAATCTGATTTTTATGGATGAAAATAATAAACTAGTAAGGATTAACAGAATATATGTCTAGAGAAAAGGAGACCAATTGTCCTGTCTTTTGTGGAATGTGTAGAGAAAAGCTCTTCCACAGAGATCAGAGCTTTTAGAGGAGAAAATATTGAAATGGTTGATTTAATATAGCTTTATAGAATAAATGTTTTGACTAATATCTTCCCCAGGTCATTAAGTAAATTATAAAGCAGAATTTCTTTGCTATAGGCTGTTCTATATCCATGAAGACACTTCCATGAATTTGACTTCTTTTTGCTGAGAAATAGTGACTTACTGAAGCAGACTAGGCAAAGGGCTTCATACACAGAGTATTTTTACTTCCTGTTGGTCTCTCTCCATCCCATCTCTTCTCTTTAAAAGTCCTGCAACAACTCTGCATTAGAGGTAGTTTTAAGTGAGGATGCTGTGATTTATTTTTTTTCATCTCCTTACTCCTAGTCAGGGTATCAGTATGCTTCTTTAAGGAAAGCTGTATTAATGCCGTTTATTCTCTCTTTAATGTATTGCTACTTCATTGCAAGGCTACTGCTGGCACCTCAGGGCTTGGTCTAGCAGGAGTAGCCAAGAGGAAAATAGATACCTTGAGACCATCTCTTCTCCAGCTCCCCTGAGAAGTGTAGGTGAGTGGACAGGAGAAGCAGGGAAGCACTGGAGAGAACATTGCTCTGTCTGCCTTCTTCCTCCTGTAAACAGTAGTGCTGGAAACTTCAGTCTGGGGTGTCTTTCCATCTGAGACAAAAATTATAGCAGGTCTGGCTTAAAAGCAGCCTTCTGTCATCTTCTCTGTCCCAGACCCTAATGTAGTGACAGCCAGACTCTGGTTTCACAACACAGTCATCATGGACCTCAGGAAGCAGAAAGGCCCAAAGGATCAAGAGTCACCTGTTACTAACTAAATGTATCAAACCCAAGTTTGATTTGATAAATTAGATCAGGTAAATATTTAGCTGTCCAGCCTGTAAACATCATGGAGTGTATAATATATATGATGGGGTAAGCCACCAATAGCTGGGCAAAGGCTCAGCAAATGCCAGGACAGCCATGCAGGGTATTATCCTGCCCTGAGCCAGGGCACAGCCTCTTGGCAGAGCTCCAGACACAAGAGAGCTGGTCCAGGTAAGGGCTGGCCATGGGAGCTAAATGAGGGAGAGGAGAAAAAAGACATTCTCCTTTCTCTCCCTTCTTAAAATCAGTGCTGGCTAATGTTCCTGTTGTAACTGACACATTTCAGGAATAAACATCACTAAGAGCTGGAGATGCAGAGATGCACCAGCGCAGCCTTTGTGCTCCATGGGGTTTCCCTCCTGTCACTTATTCTTCTGAGGAGAATTTTTTTACTAAGACAATATTAGGCTGCTTTGTTACTGGCTCTCTTTTTTTTTCAGTCCACCATCAGGAGATGCTTTGTAAACTGGAATGAAGATAAAGTCCTGGAAGACAAAGTAATCAAAATGAGGCAGGGTGGAGGAGGCTAAAAGAAAAGTGCAACTCAAGTATTCCCTTAACTTTGTGGTGTTCACATCTTGGTTTCAGCTGACACAAGGGACTTGGTTCCTCATGGATCCAAGTCTTCAACACCGTGTGTCACTTGCAAAATATGCCAGCTTCCTGTCCTGAGTTCATTCTGCCCAATAAGGAGTAGGAAGACAGAAGCTGCTGCAGGTATTAGCTGCCAAAATTGGGTAGCCCAAAAGGCTGCTCACTTGGCCTACCCATGATGTCTGTTGTGGTTTTGATTTGCAGCTGTTACTTAGGTAGGTGATTTATGTGAAGTGTGGATCATAATCCAGAATTATATTAGTCACAGGACTATTCTGGAAGCTCTGGTTTGGAGTGCACACTTGTTCAAATTGCAAGAAAATAATCCCTCAACTTTTATTGGAAGAGCTTCCAGGGAAGGCTTTGGACAGATTTATATGGTTTCTTTCTATTGTTGTTCTGTGGTATACCACTGCTGCTGATAGTTTCTGTGCTTGCTTCTGAAGGACAAATGAAAGCCAAACAATGCAAATTTTGTCACTTCCATAGGCAGAACTATCAGCCTGGCCACTAATACAGACATGCCAAGAGAAACATTATATTTGCCTGGATTTTTTTTTTTTCTCTTTTCTTGAAGCTTTCTGCAGGATTTCCTTGGGTGAAGCAGATGCAAGGCAGAAGTACAGTGGAACAGATGCAAACCGGATAATTAACCGAGAGCTGAAATGTGTAGTGAACTTTCTCACACATCGCCATGTATCCACATCAGCACACATCCCTGTGAGCTCAGAGAGGGGAGGGAAGCTGTTATAGGAAAGGAGGTATGTGCTGGTGTTTCCTATATATGAACACTCTCACAGCATGTCCAAAGAAGCATAAGCTGGAGTTCTGTGGGCCACTGTGGAGCTGGAGGGGATTGGATACCTGTCCCATAGCTGGGTGAGGTTTCCTGTAAGCATCAGTGTTAATTGTCTATGAATAGCATGGCCTCTGAAAAATTACTTTGAAGTCTGAGTTTTAGGTTGACATCTGAGTTTTGATCACTAAGTTACCCTTGTCAGTTACTGAAATTGCATTACTCTGATTTATTGATTTATTTGCTTTATTGTTACCACTAATAACCATTGTTCTGGTTATCTAAATATACCATAGAGAAAAGAGACAGTGTACACTACTGCATGACCTTAAATCTACATTCTATCTAAAGGATCTATAAATCTGGTGTCTCAGGCTACAGAGAGCAGTTGTTCCATTTAGCTGGTAGAAAAAATCCTTGTGCCCTGATCAGCTGCAATCCTTTTTATAAGTGCTAATCCTTTCAATCTGCTGGAAGTGCTCAAGACACCAGAAGCATACTGAAAATGGTTAAAGGTTTGCTCTGCTGACATGGGCACCAAGAAAAACTACCTTGCAGATCAGATCCAGTCCTTATAGCACAGACTGGCCATGCCCAGTCCTCAGCATCGCTGCAAGTGAAACACTTTGTCTATTTCACAGACTTTATTTAAGGAAGTACCAGAATCCACTTCGGAAATTATTTCAGTGAGGCATTTTAAGGTGAATCTGGCACTTTTCAGTTTATTTGAAATGCTCTATTATCAGTTGCAGGAGTCTGAGGACATGTTTGAGATACAACACCAAAGGTTCCAGTGTGAAACACAGCTAATGATCAAAAGTGGGGATATTTTCAGCTGTTTGAAACCAAACCAGCCTCCCTTGTCTGTCAGTAACACAAAGCCCATTGATCCCTAGCTTTCCAAATTCTGCCCCCTGAGCCACTCTTGGGGTGTTCTGCAAAGTGTTTTCCAATAGCATTTAATTTGCCTCCATTCTTCAGGCTACTTAAAGAGCCCAACCAAAATCACATGTAGTCAGCAGTTCCTGAAGTAAGTTTATTAATGCTTGGGCATATTGTAACACTTTTATTAGGTACCTTCAGTGAAGTACAACTGATGACTTGCCATTTTTGTGCACTGTTATGTGGCTGATTTTTGTTTGGTTAGTGACAGTGAATGCCAGTCTAATGTTACTGATTTCAAGGCAGTGACTATTGATGTGAACTGGAAGGAACAAAAAACATTTCCAGAAATGTCTTTCAGTTTTGTGGTACCTGTTCAAAGGTTCTTATGTGCACAGGTCTCATGTTCATAAATCTGATACGTCGCATTTTCAAAACCTGGATACTTTATATGTGTAGCTGAGACAATATTTGAACTGTTCTGGAAATGAAAATGTAGGTGGTTGCTTTTGGTGTTTTGGGGTTTCTTTCCTCTCTTGTTTCTGTAACTGACAACCTGAAATTCCACTTCCTAGGCCAGGAAGTGTATCTTCAGTAGTGGGGCTTGTACTTTCCTACTCAGGACCAAGAAACCAAGATTGAAAGTGGCAGACCTCATTCTTTACGCTTCACACCCCCACTTTCTCTTGCTGCCCTTCCACTTCACAGAAGCGGAGTTCACCCACTCTTGCTTGTAACCGGGTGCTTCCCTTGGAGGTCTCACACTGCAAACAAAACATTTAGTATACCTGTGGTGGTTTGGATTTATAATGATGAAACCTACCTCCAGATTCTCCCTGCAGGAAATGAAGAAGAAAATGGCATCTTCTCAATTTCCTTTACCTCATCATCACACTGTGCATCTTCTGATGAGATGATATAATGGTTGAGGAGCACTTGGGATTTTTTTTTCCCCCTAGGTTTTTCTCCTGAAAAATGTAGTCTCTGTCAATCCTTCCATTTATTTCCCTTGAAAGTGTGAATTATAAGAATGTTCAGGTTTTTTATCTAAACATATTACAGACATTGGGTGTACTACAATTTGTTACACTTTTCTTCCACAATATTGATTAATAGGAATCTATCTCCATTGTGTAAACCTAGGTTTTAGGTTCCTATTTAAAAAAAATAAAAAGCTATTTTATTCTGATCAACTTAAACTGTATATTTATAACTATGCTGTCATGGTGCATTTTATAAAAAAGGGGATGGGAAGGAGGAAATTCTTGTTGCTTTAAACCTTATTGTATTCTTTGTGCATTTCCTGGAGTCATATCTCAAAGAAGGAAATCAGTCAGACCCTTCAGAGGTACCATTTCAAATCAAACAGTGAAATATGTTTCAAGTAACAAGTATGTAATGTATGCCTTCAAGTAACTGAATCTTTAAAAATTGGTAGTTATTTCATTCTCAAAGTATAATCTCCTTGGGGATTCATCTTCAGTGACCCTGTCTACACATCTATTTTGTCACTTGTGCTAGTGTGTGTCAGAGAGCATGTGTTGTGTGGTGCAGGACCAGCTCAGTGCCCAAGGAGGTTCTAGGCTGAAGGGAACAAGTGAAAACTGGAAGTCACTGAAATGAGATGGGAGCTGGGGAGAGGCAGACCTTGAACAAGCTGAAGGTACTACTTGAGTAGTACCTTCCTTGAGTCCCAAGATACCTCCTTAGTGGTTCACCACCAACATAGGGGAAGACAATGGGTGGCAGATCCTCTAGTTGTAGTGCTAGAATTAAGAGAAAGAAAATAACCTCCAGCACACTTTGTGTTATTTGACAGCCTGGTCTGTCTTTCATGGTATAGCTCCCTGTGCATCTCAAAGCTGAGGAACTGAAGATTATCAACTCACCAGCACTGTGGGGTGTCAGGAGGCAGGAAAGCTTGTTGAGGAGTTCAAGGACAAGTGGTTGCAGGAGACAGAGCTTCATCCCATGTTGCAGTGGGATGACACCTTGTGTAGGTGATTCTGAGTTTGCAAAGCCCTTCTCTGACAGAAGCAAATATTGATATTCCTTGTGGGGTGCTGTGGCTAGACCTTCCTGTAGGACTAAATCTGCAACTTCCTCTCACTGCTGAATGTAAGCAAGTGGGAAATCTACCTTTCTTGTCAATCAGAGCTTCCCCAGTAACAGTAGAAGGACAAAAGTGGCAGGATTCTTGGCAGTTTTGCTGCTGCCCATAGGGTACTGATTGTCCTTAATGAGTCTTATTGATTTCACAGTGCAGCTTCTTGGGAACAGCAGAAGCCTGTCTACAGACTCAGAAACATCAATGGTCATATTTGGGAAGTTACCTGTGCAACCACATGGGCTGGGGTTTTGTTCTTGTTGTGTTGTTTTGTTCAAATTAAAGGCTATATTCTGCAGTAGTTGATGATTTTAAGAGCCACATCCTTCCCTAGTCTCATCAGGAAATCATTCCACTTACCACTGGTGAGAAGGTGAGTGGGTTTCTCAAGCCCTCACCATAAACTGTATTCTCAGCTTCAAGAGAGTGAAGGAGTTATATAATGTGACAAGAGTCTCTTGGGGTTCTCTGGGTGTGATGCTTTCAAGCAGCCCAGTTTTTGTTTTGGTGTTGGTTAGGCACTGGCTGCTGCATTACTCCACCCAGGACAATGGTGCTCTTTGCACTGTGTTCTTAATAACAGTCTTCTAAGGTGAGGAAATTAAATCTCTAAATTCCAAGTCCTAACTGAAGAGCAGTGTGTGGAAGGATTCCCCCTTTACCTATACATTATGTCTCCAGATCATCCTTCCTGCTGCCTCCGCTCTGGCAAGGAGTACCAACAAAACCAAGTGCTGTTTGTTCATTGATTGTTTGTGTTTTGCTGTAAAACTGAAAATAAGAAAGTTACTGTGCTTTTTTTTTCTCTCTCTCACTGTTTTTTGTTTTTTTTTAGTAACAAAACAAATGTTTCCCAACACTTTTACCCTCTTGGTTTAAAGCTTCTCATTTCTGTCAAAACACTCATCAGGCAGTCACTCTAACTAGCTGTACTCAGGCTGCCTGTGGCATCCTGTTGCTTGCTCTGAGTTTGGAGTCCGCAGGGGGTTTGCAGCTCCAAGAGTAATTCTAGAGCAGGAAAGGTGAGATTTTGGGATTAACTCCATCTTCTCCCCACAAGTTGTTTTCTTATATTGTAAGAAAATGAATAAATAAGCAGTCTCCTTTTTCAAAATTAGGAAATCCTCCTCCCTGTCCTCCTTGCTGCAGTGTGGAGAATGGCAGTTTCTCCCAGTGGGAGTAATGGCAGTTGGATTATATTCATCCTTCAGTAATCAGCTAATTGGCACAACCCTCTACCTTTCGCCTGCAGTTTTTAGCATCACACTGGATTTCTGACCTGTGAGAACTTTGCTTTGAAGGGACAGCTTGATCCTTAAGCCCATTAGTCAGATGCCAGCCCTGGCTGGGGCAGTGGTCAGGAACTCTGGGCATGGGCTGGTGCCAGTTGTGTTCTGCCAGCCATGCCCTTCCACAGGGCAAATTTGGCCCACAGTACTGGGGACTCAGCTCTGAGGAGGACAGGTTCACCTTCAAAGACTTTTCTCCTGATTCCCAGCAGTACACACAATCCCTTCCATGCAGCATGGAAGGGAGAGGAAAATTTTAGCCTTCCACAGCTCCAAAGCTGTGGAACCCAGCTAGGGGCAGGATGCCAAGCTTGCTGGCTTGCTGGCCTCATCTGGTGTGCCAAATCCCCTTCTCCTAGGTTCCTGAGGGTAGCTGTGGCCACAAAAAGTACATGGAAAACTTTCCATATAATTTGGAAAGCTGCTCTCAGAGTGAGGCCATCTTACAGAGTCTGTTTAAAATTAAAGAAAAAAATATAAAGGATAAAATGAAAACATTCCCTTGCTACCTACTCTCCTTACCTTTCACTTAAAAGTAAAGGAAGTAGAACACTTTAAAGCAGCTTTCTTTCTGTGGATTAAATGAACTGAAATACATCTTCTTTCTCCCTTGACTTTCTGCCCTCAGCCAGGTAAAGAGCAGGTCCATTGAAATATTGGCTATCGTTATTCTGAGATCTGGATTTT